AATCCAAAGCAGGCTCCAGGCTCTGAGCCGTGAGCACAGAACCCGATGTGGGGCTTGAACCTACAAAAGCAAGATCGTGACCTGAGCCGAAGTCGGATGCTCAACCAACTGAGCCTTCCAGGTGCCCCATAGAAAATTATTTTAAAATCATTACTCCTTCTCTTTTACACTTAGACCTGTAATGAAATAGAACATCCAGATAGGATACTCCGTGTGTTCCATGTGTATCATCTAATGTATTATTTAGGAATCTAAAGAGACATTCTTTTAGGCAGACTTCTTGGAAATATTCTTATTCTCTCTCCCATAGGGCATCATTTGAAACACCACATTTAGTTGGTCATTTAGAGTGTAACAAACAGGGGCGCCTGGGTGGCGCAGTCGGTTAAGCGTCCGACTTCAGCCAGGTCACGATCTCGCGGTCCGTGAGTTCGAGCCCCGCGTCAGGCTCTGGGCTGATGGCTCAGAGCCTGGAGCCTGTTTCCGATTCTGTGTCTCCCTCTCTCTCTGCCCCTCCCCCGTTCATGCTCTGTCTCTCTCTGTCCCAAAAATAAATAAACGTTGAAAAAAAAAAATTAAAAAAAAAAAATAGAGTGTAAGAAACAATGCCTTGGGCTGCCCCGGTGGCTCAGTCCGTGGAGCGTCCGACTTCGGCTCAGGTCACCATCTCACAGCTTGTGAGTTTGAGCCTCTCGGGCTCTGTGCTGACAGCTCGGAGCCTGGAGCCTGCTTCAGATTGTGTCTCCCTCTCTCTCTGCCCCTACCCCTCTCATGCTCTGTCTCTCTCTCTCTCTCTCAAAGATAAATAAACGTTAAAAAAATAAAAAAAGAAATTAAAAAACCCCCCAAACAATACGTTGCTTAAGTATGTGAGATCATGGGATATAGACCATAGGAATTCATATGTTTCCAATGTGCCTTCCCCTTTTCACTCTCGGCTGTTTATTTTGTTTCCTATTTCACTTAGAACAATGAAGCAACCACAAAGGACTTTCATAAGCTCCCACTGTCACATCCACCCACCTTCAATCTGTTCACATAATCTGCCTTTTCTTTCATTACTATGAATGAATGGTTTGTGTTTCCATCAAAGGTCAATGTTTGTACTTGGGCACTGCAGTCCCTCCAACCCTCTGCCTTCTCAAGTTCACTGCTGCTGTGATTCTCTGATCTTTCTTCTACTTCATCATTTTATCTTCCTTTTAGAAAAAAATTGGATTTCGTCCATTCCCAAACAGAAATACTGTTATTTCTCCATCTTTTTTTGGCACCATTTTTCCTGTAGAGTCATGACATGATTTCTTCTCTCTTTCCTGGCTTTCTGTTTGCCCATTTGTTTTTTTCCCCCTTCCCTGGCTTCTTTTGGACTGATTGAATATCTTTAGTATCGCATTTTTATCTCCACTCTTGACTTACTATACATACCTTTGTAGAGGTGTTTTTTTTTTTTTTTTACTGTTATTATTGTTTGTTTGTTTAGTGTTTGCCCTTGGATTTACAAATGTACATCTTTTAACTTATTATTATGACACTGCATTATAATCCAACACCCTTGCAACAGTATATCCTACTTGTCCCTTCCCATACTTTGGGCTACAGTTGTCCTAATTTTTTACTTCTATGTAATAGTTTACTATTATTTTTGCTGTAATAAGCCAATATTTTATAAAGAAATTTTTTTTTTTACTTTCTAGTGTTTTTATTTATTTTTGAGAGAGAGAGAGAGAGAGCATGTGCACACACGGGGGAGGGGCAGAGAGAGGGGGAAGCAGAGGATTCAGGCGGACTGTGCACTGACAACAGAGAACCTGATGCGTCACTTGAACCCACGAATGCTTAACCGACTGAGCCACCCAGGCACCCTTATAAAGAAATCCTAAAGTGAGAAAAATGACTTTTGTATTTACCCACGTATTTGCCACTGCTGGTGTAATTCACTGCTGGTGAATTACATCTCTTGTGTAGATCAAGTTTCTGTTATCATTTTCCTCCTGCCTGAAGAACCTTTGTTAGGATTTCTTGCAGTGCTTGTCTCATGGCATGGATTCTCTCAACTTTTGCCCCAAACAGTCTTTGTTTTACCCTCATTTTTGGAAAATATTTCACTGGATATGAAAATGTAAGTTGACCATTTCTTTCAGTACTTTAAAGATGTCACTTCATTGGTTTTTTTGCTTGAATAGCTTCTAAGGCTATGTCTCTGAGACAAGGTCTGCTGTGATCTTATCCCTTTTTCCCTGTACACAATATGTCATTTTTTTCCCCACTGAGTACTCTTGGAAAAAATTTTTTAAATGTTTATTTATATTTGAGAGAGAGAGAAACAGAGTGCAAGTGAGGGAGGGACAGAGAGAGAGGGAGGCCCAAAATCTGAAGCAGACTCCAGGCTCTGAGCTGTCAGCACAGAGCCCCATGCGGGGCTTGAACTCTTGAGTTGTGAGATCATGACCTAAGCAGAAGTCAGGCGCTTAACCGACTGAGCCACCCAGGCACCCCTCCCACTGACTACTTCTAAGATTTCTTCTTTATCACT